GGGAGGGAGGGAGGGAGTAACTACTTGAAACCAATGACTAGGTTTCAAGTGAGAGTGGCATGAGTCCGCGGCCATTCGTGGCTTCGTGTGCAATGCGCCTGCGGGCGGGCGAGCAGGCAACCCAACCGACAAGGGTTGCTGATGGTGTGGTGCCGCCAGTGGCCACTGAGCGCCCAATGACTGGGCGATAGGCAACCCATTCGACAGCCTCGCACCCCCGTTACTGGCAGTCGGGAAAGGGCTAGGGCTGTAAACGACTGTAAGATCGAAATGAATCAGTTTTCTAAGGAGAGGACACAGGAAAGTGGCTCGTAGTTATTAATGAGGGAAAAATAAAATTGACTTCATTTGAATTAATAATAATAATAATTCTGTTTATTAACACTTAAAGCCATGCTTGGAAAATATAGTTGGATGTGAGTGCGGCATAGCAGCATAATGGCCTGTACAGAATTGCGTTGTCATAATCATTGGTTTACATTTAACACAAAAAAAAATGGTAAATCACTGCCAAGAGGACACACAGGGTGTTGAGTTCACACAGATTTGCAACTATTTCAGGTTTTAAAAGGTGCAAATGTCTTTCAAAGAAGAATCAGTAGTGTGAAGCAAAAGAGCAAAGCAAGTTATAATTAAGAATAATTTGCCTCTGGCTAAAAGAGGTCAATTCACACAACAATAAATAAATTTTAACACAGTAATAACGATTTCCTCTGAGACTAATTTAGTGGGCTATATTATTTACATGAAATAATCTAAAAGCTTAAGCCAGACATGAACATAATTATAATTCGAGAATTGGTCGATTCTGGACTTGCCTGCAATGTTGCAAATCCATGCTAAGACCTTATCCTTAACTTAAATTTTGAATGGATAAGAGACCCTAAATCCCACTTGGAGCAGGTTTTTTTCTTTTTTATCTTATGATATACAACCTACAGTTCATCCAACATCAAAACATAGAGGAAAGGTAGAAAAATAAGTGGAACTTGTTAAATAAATCAAATGAATAAAGATTTTTGTTGCAGAGATGACTAAGCTAGTGATCCATGAACATATCCAATGAAGATCTAAACAAACTTAAAAGACATCAGGAAAATAACAGAACCCAAGCAGAAATGAATTTATTTACAAAACCCAAGAAATTAAGGAAGAGCCATTAAATTAAAGGAACTGAAAGCCCATCAAGCCAGAAGCCAGGTGCTCGTAAATACTAGCGCTTTGTTTTACCTGACATTTCAAGAATTTACCCTTGCTATGTATTTTTATTGTGGTTGGGATGAGTCTAAATAGTAAACTTTTCATTAAGCTCATGATATGAGAGAATTGGCAATTTTTTTTAATAACTAGAAATATGTTTGCAACCAGCTGCGAGGCAGAAAAACAACTGTACAATCTCACTTTAAGGAACATTTATGCTCATCTTCTTTCCTAAAGGTACCATAGAGAACAATTTTATTTTTTTAAAGAAAGAAAGATGTCTAGTACAAATTTATCCAGCCAACCCCAAAAATTTGAACAATATAAGTAGCATCCAAATAGATACAAGAATTCTCTTCAAAAGACTTTTGAAAACAACATTAGTAACCAAGTGTCTATAGAAACAACCACATTACAATGCATTCAGTCATGTTAAAGCAATAGACTCATTAAGTAATAAAGTAAATGTTGTACTTAACTATCCCTCCCTGCAGGGGAACAGAAAAAGGCCATTAAGTAAGTTTGCACAACTAGATAAATTGAGGCACAAAAAATTTCAAATTACAGGTACATAGGTATTCCAGTACATTAGCATTTACTTATAATGGGAGCTTGAAATTTAAGAGTGATCCTCTTCGCATGAGGAAAAATGCTTGCAAATGCTAAAAACAACCACAACAGGAGTTGGCATTATGATACAGCTTTGACTCTATGGATGTTCAGTTTAAAACTTTTAACATGTCTGAAAAACCACACATGGGAATAAAATATCTCGATATCAAAAACCACAACATTCCTACATGTAATGAGAATGCAATTGTATGAAGAGCAAAGCTACAAATCAAATATTTGCTAGTAATGTCATAAGGCACAAAATAAAAGAGGAATGCCTGAAACTTCAGAAGCCTACAGTACAGTTACAAAATTAAGATATACAACGAACAGTCTCGATTAATGCTCAGAAACAGTATCTACAACATAGACTAAGCCCACAAAATTAATAATACAAGACAAAAAATGATACCATGAAATGTAAATCAAAATGCAAGCCCTATGGAAAGTATAAGATAGCATAAGAGAAACCAATTTCTGATGCAAGAGAATAAGAAAAGAAAATATTCCCAGAGTTTGGGATGCCAGCAGAAAAGTGTTGAAAATTTGTTCTTTTACATCAAGATAATAATTCCAAAGATAGAAAAGTTGTCAAACAAAATAGGAAAAAAAGAGTAACCCTACTTATCGTCACTATTTTTTTTGTTCAATCTTTTGATATAGTATGAGACTCATAGAGCCCTGTCACTCTATAAATAAAACCACTCACAGAAACAGGTTGTCGGTAATACTGACCGTGCTGATGTAACATGTGCCAATACACTAATACAAACTCAAACAGAACAGTTGAAACAGCATAAAGGTTTTGGAAATAGGTAATTCACAACATTTGATTAAAATGTTACAACAGCCAGAAAAATTAAATGCATCCTGAGGTTTCCATGGATAGTAACATTAGCAAATACACAATGTAAATAAAAAGCTGAACTTTGCTTGTTGCAACAAGAGGCAGAGCCTGTTAAATGATCTTTGGACTAATAGCTCGCATAATCAATAAATAATTTCTTTCATCAGGAGCAAAAGGCATTAACTTTGTCCTTGGAGAAAGTTTTAGTCAAGTTTTACAGCTTTATTATAAATTTTTTAGTATCTTTAAGATCCTGCAGAAAACACAGATCAAAAAAATAAAAAAAAAATAACTGCAGACCTGCCTAAAAAGAAAAGAAACAACTCCTTAATTGACTGATATTTTTAGCAGATTTTTTCAAGCTGCATACCATTATAATATTACTGCTGATACTGTTTTAAGTTAAATATCACTGCAAGAGTCTACTTCTTTTTAACAGGTGTTCTTTGAGGAGTTGATGGGCGTCCTGAGTTCATCCCAGCATACTGGTACTTTGCTTTCTTCTCTGATGGCTTCAGGATCTATAAATATGCAAGACGTTTAAAGATAACGAACATACACACTATACTAAAGATACAAAAAGAGGGTAAAAGAGTTTTGAAACTTACTTGAAACGAGCACATGAGGGATTCGTCAACAGACATCATACCACCAGCATTATCAAATTCACCACAATAGTTGGGTGCAGAAAATAATGTGACAAGCTGTCTTTTGGCAAAGAACTCATACCCATCTTCAACAACCTAAACACCACAAGGGGAAGATTAACATAAGCTTATTTGTTCACCAAACCTACCGACACAATCAACAAGCTGGACAAGCATAGTGCATACCTGATGGGCTCTACAAATTAAATCCAGATCATGACGATTCAAAAACTTGCTGACAACATCTGCTCCAAAGGTGAAAGAGACCCCACGGTCATTTTCACCCCAACCTTGCACATCTTTATCAGGATCTGACCATAAGAGGTCACACAAAAGACCTAGAATTTTAAAAACGACATTTTTTAATTTGAAGTAACTGTTGTTTTAGGTATATATGTACAGTCCAACGCCGTTTCTTGGGCCAACCTCTGGGATGGCTGTCGTGCAGTTTGCTGATCCACTGATATTACCAGAAAAGACTAATTCCTGAAGTCTGGCATAATATCTAGTCTTGTCTGGTAAATAGATTTTAAGCCAGACTTCAGGAACTAGTCATTTCTGGTAATGTCGGTGGATCAGCAAACTGCAGGACAGCCATCTCTCTTAACTGGGCTACCTGGGACTCTGGTTCTAAAGGCAACCATAGTCTTACAATGGTACTTCCCCCTTCGATTTCAATACTATTTCTGATACCGCTTTGGACTTGGCCTCCATGCGTTTGGGCGAAGTTGATAGAAACTACCTTGGCCCACCTTTGGTCCAGCCCAACTTAGTGCAAACCAGCTGGACCCGACCTCCCCTGGGCCAGGCTAGCTTGGACCAGGCCAACCTAGGTTGGCCCGGGCACCGGAGCTGGACCGTAACATATACATGATGTACATTATTGTTTTAGTTAAATAAAAGAATTGTGCCTACCTGTGTCTGGGACATCTGTAGGCCGCATTATACGTCGGATTTGTTCCATTCCCTGAAGGTCAGGACTTAAACCGCCATGACAGCAAAATATTTTCTCATCAATGATAGCAGCAATAGGTAGACAGTTAAAACAGTCTGTAAAAGTCTTCCATAATTTGATGTTGTACCGCCGTTTACCTGTAGACCATAAAATGAGAAACTAATATGTACCTAGATCAAATAATAAGTAAACTAAATAAATTCTCGGGTAACAACTTACACTCATCATAAAACCCATATATCCGGTTAATAGAAGCACATTCATGGTTTCCTCTCAAGAGAAAAAAGTTCTCAGGATATTTGATTTTGTAGGCCAACAGGAGACAGATAGTCTCTAATGATTGTTTACCTCTGTCAACATAATCTCCCAAGAACAAGTAATTGGCTTCAGGGGGAAACCCTCCATATTCAAAGAGCCGTAGAAGATCATTGTACTGTCCATGGATGTCACCTAAAACAGGGTGTACTTATTAAAAGCAAGACCTCAGTTGTTTGAATGAATGAAAATAAGAGAATACAGGAAAGTAATAAGTAGACACAAGGTAATTTGGTTGAAAAAGGTGGGAAAAGATAGCAGGTGGCACATAGAAGTGCACAGAAAAGGGCAACATTGATTCACCGGTGTTTTATGACCTTTACAAAACTGTGAGCTAAAACGGCGGTAACCTACCACAAATTTTCAACGGGGCTTCAAGCTCCAAGAGGATAGGCTGTTGCAAGAATATTTCTCTGGACTTGTAACACAATCCTCTGACCTCCGCCTCACTCATTTGAACAGTTTTGCCTGGGCGACATCCTCGGACTAGAAGTAAAAACACAAATAACTGACAATAATGAAAGAGGAATTATTGTTGATAAACTGAAAATGGCTCATCCTTGCGAGTCCACTTTGAGTTTTGGCTTGCAGACAAGGCACATCACCTTGAAAAATACGTAAAACGATAACTACATGCTTAACATCAAGGCTAAACAGGGTGATTTTCAAAACTTTACACTTTAAAATTACCTTCGAGGAGTCTTTGAATCAGGCTGTCGACATTCAGGTCGACCTCCGCCATTTTTTCTGTCATCTGAAGTTCGTCGTGTGTTCGTGTGACGTCAACTCGTGGCGTCGAGATTTGCGGGCTGCAGAGATGATTTTCAAAATCTTTCGTGGGTTTTTAAGGCAGACTCGATTGCTATTCTTTTATTTGTCTGTATGAGTAAATCGTGATACACCGACTATATCTGTATCTGTATCCGCGTCTCTTCAAACGGCATTTTGACCGATTTGACTTTGATTTCAACCCGAGAGAGAGGAAGAAGGCGACGAGCATCTGTCAAGAAAGAGAAGAACAAGACGACGCCGTCCATTGTCGTTTGGTCTAACCTTCGAATTTCATCTTGTGTTTACACACAAAATAAATTCGTTGGTAAATAGTGCCCCGATTTTATATCTGCATTTTAGTCTCCGTCATTCGATATCTTCCATCAAAATGAGCAGTAGTGTGATGCTTTTTGCCTGTTCAAGATGTTTTTCTAGACACCCTTTTGAAGAGCTGTCTCCAGGCCAGCAGTTATGCAAGGCAAGTATTTTATCATAATTTATTTTGAAATCTCCGAAAGCTGAAAATGTTATTGTATTTCTAGCATGTTGAAAGGAAGACAATTTTTTAAAATTTGTAATACATTTTCGACTTATTGCTTTCATGGAATTGATGATATTTTGTTCTATTCTAACCTGTACCTCTCTGTTTGACACTTTCTCTATCTCTATTTTCTCTACTTTTTAACGTTCGTATTCAAATCTGACGGTTTCGGTTTTATTCTTCTTATCATTTTGGATGTATGCTATTTAAAACATGTTTCCCATCCCGTTATTTTTATTCCCTGATTGCTCAGTCATCTGTATTAGAGCTGTCAATGCCACTAATGTCTACTTGTCATCTACTTGAACATTTTAAAACAGTTACTCAATTTTCGTAGGGCTGGTTTTTATCTCTTAAGTTTGAAGCTCATTATTATTTTGCCTGTTTAGTTTATCCCTAAATTCTTAGCTCTCTAAAAAAGATAAAATTTGATTTGATGAGCCTGAAAGATTTTGTTGACTTCAGATCTAATTGAATTATTTTTGTTTGTTTTATTTAGGAATGTAGAGGCACATTTCCAGTTGTGAAGTGTACGTTCTGCCGCTCTGAGTTCCAGCAAACTAGGTGAGAAAAATCTTTTTCCCTTCACGCATTTATTAAAAAAAACAAAAAAACAGTCTGTGTGACACTGTGATGCGATTTGGATTTTCAGCAAGGGAAGCACAAGCACCATTTGCAAGAAATGTGAGCAAAATGTAAAACTATACAGGAAGCCAACTGCTTGTGAATATTGCAATATCATCGCAGCATTTATTGGAAATAAGTGTCAACGTTGTACCAACTCAGAGAAGCGCTATGGACCTCCTGTTACCTGCGAGCAGTGCAAACAAAAATGTGCTTTTGATAGGAAGGATGAAGATAAGAAGGTGAATGTTTTGAACTTTCTAGTACTTCTTCCATCAATTATATAACTACTTTTTTATACGAGTTAGCTAGTCAATTTCAAATCCGCCACTTTTTTAAGCTAAAGTCCTCCCAAATTGATTTCCAGGTTGATGGGAAATTACTTTGTTGGTTGTGCACATTATCATACAAACGTGCATTAGCAAAGACTAAACAAAGTGTTCAGGAACGACGTGAACATCAAAGAATTACTCGAGAGCGTGAACGAGATGCCAAACGACGAGAGCAGGCTGGAAGGTAAGATCCTTTTTGAATAGTTCCTGAATATTTAGAGCTTTCAGTATTGTAATCAGTTCTTCTGATTATCTATTCCCATTGAATCTTACAATTGAGGCTCTTGATGTCTCCCTCCTGGTAGTCTTACAATGATATTAAGTTTGTAATTATTTTCTTTTGTGTGTTAGGCCACGAAGCCATAATAAAAGACCTCAACGGGCAGATGTTACAAAACTGCCACCTCCTACTGAAAATAAGGACACAATGGATGGGCCTCCACCAAAAGTTCCTCGACCTGCTGTTTCTCGAGTGGATCCTCACGATCCTGAGCATGTTGTTGCTATGACTCAACTTAAGGAAAAGATTGTATCCCTCAACAAGCAGATTTCAATGAAAGATCAACAGCTGCTAACAAAAGACAAAATGGTGCGTGTTCTCCTTCTCTTCGGTACTTGAAGTTCATTTCTCTGAGGTTCATTGAAAATTAAAGCTCTTTTTTATCAACTTTTTGCAGCTTACTGAGCTCAAAGCGAAACATTTCACTGTGGAGAATGAATTGCGTAACCGTATGCTTTCTAGTGAACGAGAATTTAAGTCCAAGTCTGAAATGATGTCAGGCAAGATTAAGAGTCTGCAGAAAGAAGTTGCCACTTTGTCTAAGTTGAAGTCCACTCCAAAGTCAGACAAGAAGAGAGTGGTTGAAATCAAAGAAAAAGAACGTATACGTACAATTGATCCTAAGGAATATTTAAGACAAAAGATGAAGAAGGCTGAAAGAAATGACAGTGATCAGAAAGACACTGATAATGATGAAAAGGAAGAGAAGAAGTCTAGAAATACTATAAGTGATGACGATGATGACGATGATTCTAAAGATGCATCTTTCAGGGGTAGTAGCATCAAAGAAGAAAAGGTTAGCAAAGATGAAACTCAGAGAAATGGAAACAAGGGGGAGGAGAATGGAGAAAAGAAGGACCAGAGTGATACAGTTACTAATGATAATACAGAGGGCTCAATATCTGAAACAAATGGAACTGATGCCCAAAGCACAACTACCATTGAAAGTGAAAGTAAAGATTCTTCTAAAAAAGAGAAAGAAGACAGCAAGGACTCAGATGACGAGTCTGTCAAGAAAGAGCGCTTTTCTGATAGAGGATCCACTAAAGGGGATTCTGATAAAGAATCTGATTATGAGTCCTCCAAGAAAGGTCGAAACTCAGACAAGGAATCAAACAAGGGGGATTCTGACAAAGAATCATCCAAAGCTGACTCTGATAAAGAATCAACAAAAGGAGATTCTGACAAAGACTCTACAAAAGGCTCTGATAAGGACTCTGATGATGAATCACCCAGAAAAGCTAATAGCTCAGATGATGATTCATCCAAAAAGCGGCGTCATAGTTCAGATGAGGAATCGCAAAAGAAAGGAAGTGATAGCTCAGATGATGAACCTTCAAAAAAAAATAGCTCAGACGATGAAAAACCTAAGAAACGCAAACATCTTCAAAAAAAGAAGAAGTTTAGAAATGATTCTGATCGGGAGTCAGATAAAGATTCTGATAAAGATTCTGACAAGGATTCGAGCAAGTCCTCTGATCGAGAGTCTGAGAAGGAATCTGACAAAGACTCAGAAAAGGATTCCAACAAAGATAGTGACAGCGACAGTGATGCATAGGAATGATAATTTAAAAGCAGCTGTATTTGAATTTCTTTATGTATTCTATTCAGTTGAAGTTATGGTGGAATCACACACATTGTATAGGATTCATGTAATCAGTAAATTTTTATTTCAATTCTACTTAAGCTGCTAAAATTTTAGTAAAATTCTGTTCTATTTATGTATGTAACTTGCAAATATGGTAGTTGAGCACTCTTTTGTTCCTGGAAGTTTGCTTATTATGTGTGTGAATGAAATTTATCATGGGTATATAGTAAATTATGAGGATGCATTTGTATTATTGTTATCATTGTGTTCACTAACTCATTTGCGGCCGCAGTTGAAAACAAATATTGGATGAAGCCGGAAGCATCCATTAAGTTATTTATGATATCTGAAATAGTGTGTCATTAACTCTATGCTCCCATTACAACAGTAAACAGTATTATGTGATATTTTTATGATAAGACAAAAGCATACAACTTGTAGAAATTTTTATTTTTATTATATACAATTGTAATGTATGAATCTTTTTCTTTTGTCTTAACTAATGTAAAATATGTAGCATGGGTTTTTATGCACTGTCTCATTTCAGTAGATAGAATTATTTAATTATCACCAGGTTAAGACTTCAGAAGGCTGTGCTCTTGTGCACGATTATTGATTGAACTTGTGGAAATAAAAATTGTCTCAAGTTTTTGTTTCTAGGTGTACTTACTTTGTAATAGTTACTCAAAATTTTGGTGATTAGTTTTCATGCAATTTTTATCAAGCCAATGACTGAGAATTTCCTTTCGCATTGCAATGCATGGGCTTGTTGAAATATGTTCTACAAAACCTTTACCAACCAATGTAAATCAGACTCATGTATTTTCATGATTAAGGTTTAAATATGTAATGTACGGCAAGTGAACATTTTGAGATGGATTGCTTGTAAATTTTCCGTCTCATATATACCAATCTGAGGATTTCAGCATTAGTTGGCTTAACAGAAATTCCTTCTGTTTCATACTTATGTTACTTTTTCTTTTTATTCAGTCCTCTGAAGGAAATATCTTCCCTTGTGACTTTGTGGTGTTAGCTAGATTAATTAATTTATTTATCTTAAGAGGTATTTTCATCAGGTTTGTACAATACTTTTAACTTTTGTTAAAAAAAAATATTTTTATTACTTTCATGTTGTTATGTAAGATGAGATCAATGCTTTCATCTTATGAATCTTTAAATCATTGTTTGGCATTAAGAAATATCAAGAATATCATAGATGTTAACATGAATCTTTCTGTTGAAGTTTCATTTTTTGTCAGCTGGCATTTTATCTCCTTATCAATCAAAGGTGTAGCGATTTTCCATTACTTAATAATTCATTTATTCCTTAAAACAAATATTAAAAAAAAAGTAAAAAATCATTGAAATCATAAACATTAGTTCTAGGCTGTAGGGGATTTGTTGGGTCTTCAAAAGCAGCAACTTTAAAAGCTGTGCCACAAACAAGGCAAACTCCATAGTCATACTAGAGAACACAACATTATTTTTGTATTGCTTCAACCTTACAACGCAGTGTATACTTTGAGACATGACATTGGAACTACCTCGTAACATATTCACATCTAACTAAGCTGATTTGATGTGTATGGTTGTTTATTATATCTTGTGAGCAAAATCTATAATAAAGTGTACTGCCTAAAACGGTCTAAGCTCGAATTCCACCCTACTTCCCTCACGCCCGAGTTCACGCCATGCAGAGTTTGTTCCCTGCTACCCCCTGTAAGCATCTCCGTGACCTGCCTGGTGTTCGCGTGTTCCGTTCGCTTCCGTTCCAGAGGATCGACTCAGCCAAGCCAAACACGGAACGTGTCGACAGAACAGGCTTGCCGTCGAACCCCTTTCACAAAATGCGCTAAAATGCCGCTGCCTCTACTAACTCGGTCTTTTTTCACATTGCTTGGAGCGAGCAGGTCTCCCTTCTCTGCCTACAACTCAAACGTTTCTCGCGGGTTGCGGAAAACCCCCGAGCCGTTTCAGCTCCCGCCCCCCGGAGCCCACCCACGGCGCCCCCGCCACCCCCGGCGCCCCCGCCCGTGCCTTGTGCAGGGACGTCTCCAGGTGGCACGACCCTGGCGCCACCCCGGCTGCACTCCGGCTCGGCCCGCCTGCCCCGGCTCACGGCTCGGCTGGACTCCACTCGGCGAGCGCCGACCCTGCTGCCTGTTGTGGCCCGGCTGACAGCGGTGCCCCGGTCCCTCCGACGCTGGAGCCGAGTATCCGGCGTGCACATGGACCGCGCGCCCTTCAGGTAACAGTGCTTTTTCCGTCCAGCGCGCCTGCCAGACTGCGGGTAGGCCGGCCGCCCCACAGGCGTGCGCGGCGGCGCTGCCCTCCGCCCGGCCGCAGGCGCTCCGGCCGCGCCGCCATCACCTCCCCTTTGCCCTCTGCCCGCAGAGCCACCCACCCGGCCAGACGCCATGGACGACCGCACGGTGGACCTCATCTTCGCGGGCTCGCTGCAGAGCCTGCCGCCCGTCAGCTCCAAGATCGTGCGCATCTTCACCAGCTCCACGTTCACGGGTGAGCGTCGTGGCGTCCGGTGGCGTCGCTCACTCCCCGTTGACCTCTGCGCGCCACGGGCGCCGGGTCCGCGGCCGTCCGCGGACCCCTGCATCCAAACTAAGCAATGATAATATTTCTCTTCCCCTCCGCAGACACGACCATGGAGCGGAACACCCTGATGGCGCAGTGCTACCCTAAGCTCAAGGACTTCTGCCGGGAGAAACATGGGCTGGAGTTTCAGGTTTGCAAAGTGCCGTCCCCGCCGGTCCCCGCCGGTCCCCGCGGTGCGGCCGGCCCGGGGCCCCGGCGCCCTTTGCATTCTGCGGGGAGGCCCGGTCGGGATGACGGACCACAGTTTAATTCACAAACTGTTTATACCGGAGGGGCGGGTGGCAGGGAGGGCGACCTCTGAAGGCAGGTGACCCCCCCCCCCCCTTTCCACCCCCTTTTCCCCTGGCGCAGTAATTCAAAACCATCACGCTGCCGACGGCTGTATTTTGAGTGGGAGGGACTTTACTCTCGCTCACCGGCCTGGCCTGGCGGGCGGGGCTTCGCGCGCCCTGCGCCTCCTCCTCGGCCAGCCGCGGCCAGGCGCACCCTAATGACTGCAGCTCCCCGCGCCGCCCCGCGCCGCTGCCGTGGAACTTTGGATAATGCGACTAATGTCGCGAGCGACTAACGACCTAACCAGACTGCGGGGGTGGAGGCGGGGAGGGTCGGGTAGGGTTGGGGAGTACAGCCAGTCCATGTCCGTACCGCCTGTCTACTCGGCTCGCTCTACCGTACCGTTCTATTACCCAGTCAAAAAGAAATAAACAAATGGATGTCTACCCAGCCCATAATTATGTCGCTTGCTGCTCCGTTCGTCACGGCCCAAGGCTGACTGCTGTGCTTATTTTTCTGACGCAGGTCGTCGACATGCGATGGGGCGTCCGGGACGAGGCCACCGACGATCACATGACCACGGAGCTGTGCATGCGCGAGATCGCCAACTGTCAGCGGCTGTCGATGGGGCCCAACTTCGTGGTGAGCGGATCACTCTTCCCTTGCAACGGGCTGAAGGCTCCGGGCGGGCGGACGCCTCGGTGTTTCGGTTTGACAGCGACGAGCCTCGCCGGGGGAGTATTCGTTTCGACAGAGAATGTCTGTTTGGCCTTATCTCTACAGCGGGCGCCGCCCGCGCCGCCATCAGGACGAGCCAAGAGCCAAGCCCTGCTGCTTCTGCCGCCTTGCCTTTCGCTTTCTTTTTTTTTCTCTTTTCGTTTTGCATCCCGATGGCTTGTCGGCTCGGTCCACCCCCCCCCTCTCTCCCCCCCTCCGTGTTGAGCGAGCTTTGATCCGACTCCAAAGCGCCCCTCTGCGCGAATTCGATTAGGAAACTTCCGCCGAGGATCGGTCCGCCTCGGCTCGGCTCCCGCGCGGTGTGCGTCGTTCCTTTCCCGCCCCTCCCCGCGCGCCCGCTATGTACCGCTTGCGGAGTGGCCCGCCCCGCCTCGCCCGCCCCACCCGGGCCGCGCGAGGACGACGCCGACGACATCCAAGAGTTTGCTTGTCAACCCGGCACAACTTATAATAACAAAGATAAGCATTTTATCCCCGGTCTCTGTTGCCGACCCCAGCCAGAGCCGGCCGCGCCGGGGCGGCAGCGGCAGCCGCACCACACGTCAGTGACCTCCTCTGTACACAGCAGGGAAGACGTAATCGCAACGAACCCCCGGCGGGCGGGTGGGTGGGTGTCGCTAAGCTGCTCTGCCCTGGAGGTCGTGGTCGTGGCGCTCGGGTGTCGGTGTAGGCGGCGGGGTCGGCGGTAGCGGTTTCACAGGTGGCTCCTTATCCCAGCGGAGGTGGTAAAGGTCACGGAGCAGCACCACCGTCGTCGCCGCCGCTAACCCCTTTGCGCGAATAAGTAAAAGCCCGCCGCTCCCCGCCGCTCGGCGGTCGCACCTTTACAGCGAATACAATATTGATGATTAATGGCATTTTAAATTCAGCCTCGAGAGCTTGCTCCGCTCATAGCTGCGTGGGCGCGCGCCGGCCTGCCTTGCCACCCGCTGTTTCCCCGCCCCGCCCC